GTATAAATTGTTGATTTACCGTTTTTGTAGTTAATGATTATTTTAATGTTTTTCAAATCAAGTTTAATTTTATTATAATAAAGTTGTTTAAAAAAATGAATTTTTTGAATAAATTTTAATTTGATTATAATAAAGTTGTTTGAAAAAAACTACTTTTTTCCAATGTAATCCGAAAAAAAATATTGCTTTAATTATCTTTTTTATTTGTACCATGCTAATCCTTCGTTTTGTTGTATTCTTCCCCATGCCGTTGTGCTGATACCCTGATTTCCTTTTTCTTCACGTGTTCATATGTTAATTTATGCACGTTGCCCAATTTGCACGATGTTATCTTATATTTTGTCCTTGACGCTAATCTTTCTTTGACTGCTCCAATATGTCTTCTACAAGCGAGACTCCTGTATCACATAAAAGAAGACTGCAAAGAGAGAGAGTTGAATGTCACCAACAAAGGAGATTTGATGGAGGGCGTTTTGATCTGGAAATCATCGATCAAACGTGTTTACATTGTGGCACGAGATTTTGGTTGTGTAAGAAGAATCGGAACAGCAGCCTATCTTCTCCTAGGTTTGCTATGTGTTGTGCGGGTGGCAAGGTCCATTTACCTCCTGTGCTTGATCCTCCTCCTTATCTACTTGATTTATATACTTCCTTCCATTCGGAAGCAATAAGTTTTCAAAAAAATATCAGAGCTTACAACGGAATTTTGGCATGCTCTTCTTTTGGTGCTAATATTGACGAAAGCTTTCAAGGTCAAGGTGTATCGAATTTTAAAATCCATGGCCGAATTTATCATCGCATAGGATCTTTGATGCTGGATGAAGGACAGAAACCGGTATTTGCTCAGCTCTATATCTATGACAGCGATCATGAAAATAACAATCGGCTTCGCATTATGCGTGATCTGAATGCCAAAATATTGCAGAATTTGCAGAATATGTTGGATACTTACAACCCATATATCCAGAATTTTCGCCAAGTGAGAGATTTGCTTCAAAATGATGCTGATTCAGCTGATATTTCGATGCGGATTTATTGTGATCGATTGAATGATGCCTGCCGCTATAATGGTCCCGCTGCTTCTGATGTTGCTGCGATTATGGTTGGTGATGGTTATGAAGTTAAACCTTCTAATCGGGATATTATTCTTAACTTCCGTGATGGGACTTTACAAAGAATATCCGATTGCATCCTTTCTATGATCCTCTTCAATACGTGCTGCTGTTCCCAAACGGTGATGATGGATGGCATCTTGATATACCGCTTACAGATAATCCTCAATTAAATACTTAAAGAGATATGGTGACTCCTATGCAATTCTATTCTTACAGGTTACAGATTAGACCCAGTAATTGGTTGCAATGTGCTAGCCATTTGTATCAGCAGTATATTGTAGACCAGTATTCAAAAATAGAACAGCATCGTTTGAATTATCTCAGATTTAATCAATCATCCCTTCGCTTGGATTTGTATAAAGGAGTTGCCGATGCCATACATGCAGATGACAGAGATGCTGATGATAGAGATGCTGGACACGTTGGACAAAATATTGGACGTTGAATAATTCTTTCTTCATCGTTTATTGGTGATCCGCGTCAGATGTACCAACTATATCAAGATGCTATGGCCATCGTGAGTCACTTTGAAAAGCCTGACCTTTTTGTCACCTTCACATGTAATCCCAAGTGGCAAGAGGTTACAAGAAAATTGTTGTTACATCAAACTGCCATGGATAGACCTGACTTGACGGCACGTGTTTTTCATATAAAACTACGAGAATTGTTAAAGGATTTATGTGAAAAACACTGCCTCGGTAAAGTTGCCGCATTTGTTTACGTGATCAAATTTCAGAAACGCGGTTTACCGCATGCTCATATTTTTCTGATTCTTTCGCAAGATTCAAAGCTTCATTCTGCGGATGATTATGATTCAATTGTTTCTGCAGAAATCCCTGATCCTAATGTTCACCCTCTTGCTTACGAGACCGTTATATCATCTATGATGCATGGTCCGTGTGGTATACTTAATCCTTCAGCTCCGTGTATGAAAGATGGGTTCTGCCAGAAGCATTATCCAAAATCTTTTCAATCCTCCACACAGGACAATTGTGATGGATATCCTCTTTACCATAGGCGTGATAATGGTTCTTTTGTTGAAGTTAGGCGTGGCGTCCGTTTAGATAATCGATGGGTGGTTCCTCATAATGTTGAATTGGTAGAAAAATATGACGCCCATATCAATGTTGAAATCTGTAATTCAGTTTTGGCTATTAAATACCTGTATAAATACATATACAAAGGTCACGATCGAGCTACTGTTGCGCTCTCATAACCTGACAGTGCTACCGACTTGCGTCCACCTGATAAAGAGCCCGTTGACAAGATAAAGATGTATCTTGACGTGAGGTACATTTTGTCTTTAGAGGCGATTTGAAGAATTTTTCATTACAGGATGCATGGCCGTTCTCCAAATGTTCAAAGGTTGGCGATTCATCTTCCTGAGAAGCAGTTTATTACTTTCCATAATGATGATAATTTGCATCAAGTTATAGATCGTGCTGACTCTCATGTAACTACCTTAGTTGCTTGGTTTAAAGAAAATGCTGATAATCCCGCTGCTCATAATTACAAATATGTTGACTTTCCACTTTATTATACTTGGAATTTGTCTGATCATAAGTGAAATATACGAAAAACAGCTACGCGTGCGATTGGGAGACTGTATATGGTGCAACCTTCGGAAGGTAAACGTTACTATTTGCGAATGTTGCTTACTCATGTAAGAGGTGCTTCCAGTTTTGATGACTTGAGGACAGTTGAAGGTCATGTATGTGCAAGTTTTAAGGAAGCCTGTATTCGTTTAGGCCTTCTTCAAGATGATACCGAATGGGATGTCTGTTTGAGAGAAGCATGTTTGTTATATAAGAATGGGTTAACAATTACGTCTTTTTTTTGCGACCATTCTTATCTTTTGTCAGCCCGCTGCATCTGAAATTCTGTGGAATAATCATAAACTTGCTCTTTGTGAAGACATTTTATATCAGAATCGTGATCTTTATAGTGATATAAATGATGCAGTTAAACAGGAAGCCTTGAGACAATTGGAATCTTACTTGCAGTTGAATGCAAAATCACTAAACGATTTTCCTGATATACCTCTTTTTTTGGGAGGCTTTGGATTTCTTAATGGTCCTGATGCGTTAAACCAACTGATTCGAGAAGAAATGTCTTATGATATTACACTATTGCAAACTGCATTAAATCAAAATGTTCCTTTGCTGAATAAAGACCAGCGAGCTATTTATTATGCTGTTTTGTCTTCTATTCATGATACGTGTACCTGCTTCTTTGTTGATGGTCCTGGTGGTACCGGTAAGACTTTTTTGTATAATACCTTGCTGGCAACTGTTAGATCCTGTGGAGAAATCGCTTTAGCTGTAGCTTCTTTGGGTATTTCAGCACTTTTAATTGATGGTGGAAGAACTGCCCATTCACGCTTTAGAATTCCTCTGAAATTACATGAACTTTCAACCTGCAACATTTTCCGTAGAAGTAGAGAAGCCCGTTTAATTAATGCAGCTAAGCTTTTCATCTGGGATGAAGCTCCAATGCTATATAAGTTCGCCTTTGAAGCTGTGGATAGGACTTTACGTGATATTACTTGCGTTGATAAGCCTTTTGGTGAAAAGGTTTTTGTATTTGGAGGTGATTTTAGGCAGGTTTTACCAGTTATACCATGTTCCCTTAGAGCTGAAGTTGTCTCATCATGCTTGACTCGCTCTTTTTTATGGAAACACTTGAGAGTAATGAAATTAACTATTAATATGAGACTTCGTCAAGATCTTGATCCACAGGAGACCATAAAGCAAAAGAAATTTGCCGAATTTCTTTTGGATATTGGAGATGGTAATTATTACATTGTTCCTGGTACAGAAGATAGTATAAACTTACCTTTTGATTTGGTGATGGCTAAAGGAGGTTTACCAGCACTTATCAATTTTGTTTATTCACGCTTGATTGAGAATTATGAAAATGTGGATTATATGGTCAGAAAAGCAATCTTGATGCCCAAAAATGTTGATGTTGAAAAGATTTCTGAGCTGGTGTTAGATCAATTACCTAGTGATTTAATAATCTATCCCAGTGCTGACTCTGTAGATTTATCTGATGAAGGCAATACATCCCAACCTCAAGTATATTCACCTGAGTTTTTAAGATCCTTAAAAATTCCTAATGTTCCTCCTGGTGAATTGAAGTTGAAGGTGGGAGCGCCTATTATCTTATTACGAAACTTAGCTCCATCTCAAGGTCTGTGTAATGGAACTAGGCTGATCTGTCGAGCTCTTTAGAACAAAGTAATTGAGGCCGAAATTATCTCTGGCTCTCATGTTGGCAGCCGTGTTTTTATCCCTCGAATGACACTAAGCCCTTCTGACAGCAACTTACCTTTTATTCTGAAACGACGTCAGTTTTCCATTCGTGTGGCTTTTTCTCTAACTATTAACAAAGCTCAGGGTCAAACATTAAGTCGTGTTGGTCTTTATTTGCCACAACCAGTTTTTTCTCATGGCCAACTGTATGTTGCATTGTCGAGAATCACTTCATATCAGAACATTAAGGTTCATATAGATAACAGTAGTGTGAAATCTCAGAAAGGTCAGACTCAGAATGTGGTTTATAAGGAAGTGTTTGCTTAAGAATTGTATGTCTTTTTGTATAATATTAGAATTTTATAATAACAATTTTATTACCTTTTACGAAAATTTTCACTGAGAAAATTTATTGTGTAAAAAGTGACCCTATGTACGAAATTGTACAAGTTAATAAGTTAATAATCGATTTTTTTTTCTCTTTTTTCGGATTTTGATTATCTTTGTCATGTGTATGTATGAAGATTATCATTGTCATGTGTATACATTGAATTCAAATTTTAAGATTTTCATTATCACGTTTTTATTGTTTCAATTTATTGTTGTTGCACCACCGACCTGAAAAACCCGATGCGAAGCAGCGGGCTACAGCTAGTTATCAATAAAAAAATAAATGATTAATATAAATTAAACTGCCAATTTTTATAATTAAAATATGTAGATTATAGATAAAATAATAATTAATAAAAATAATAAATTAAATAAATAATTATTAAAAAATAAAATGTTGCGAAACTAAACGGATGGTTTTTGGCCCACATTATGCTTAATTTTGGCCAAAATATGACCGGACCCTGAAACTAATATTTTTAAAAATATTATTTATAAAGTTAAAAACAAAGGATAAGTTAAATTTAAAAAAAAGTACCAATTTGCTCAAATATAAAATATGACTTTGTAAAATCAATACAATTTGCTAAAACTCATAATTATGACTATTAATTAATTTTCAATCAATTTGCTCTTTCTAAAATTATGAGTTTAACCTAATTTTAATTGAATTTGCTAAAACTCAAATGTGAGTTATATATGTGATGTCCGGGGTCCTCAAAGAGGTATATTAAAATTATTACTAAAAAAAGTATTTTAATATTAAAGATAATCATTTATTCATATAAAACCCCTTATTTTCAATTTTTTTTTATTTTTTCTGATATCACGAATAACTGACGAAAATATTAAAAATATACATATTTTATTTTAAAATTAATTGGATTGAATGTTCAAATTAATCTTACATACAACTTTATTTTAATCAATTCGTATAAATGCCAATTGATAAGAATAACCTAATAAAAGTATTTAATCATAATATTATTATTTTTATGTTTTTTACCTTTTTTTTGCTTTTTTTGTTTTTTTTATTTTTATTTTTTTATTTTCATATTCATCGTTATGATATTCGTCACTTTCTTCATCTTGATCAGTATTATAATCATATGTTGGAATTTCATTTGTTGAATGATTAAATCTTTTAAGAGCCTCGTTGGTCAAACACCAATTTGGTGTATCCACTGGAGGCATACTTGTTGTTGTTTTACATCTTTGAACTCTTTTAATTTTTAGAATTCGAGGTTTTTTCGTCAGTTTTTCAACGGTCAGATCAATCCGATCATGTAATAAATGCTGAAGCTTTAATAAATAATTACTATTAATAAATAAAATAAATAAAATAAAAAAAATAATCATAAATATATAGTACATACTGCAGAAGAACACCACCATGTTTCATATATATGAATTGACATTGTCTTTTCTTTAACAGCAGATTCTTCACCAATTATATCATTTTCTTCATCAGAATTGGTTTCCTTCCACTCCTCTAAATGATAATCAGATTCCTTAAGAATTCATACAAGCTCTTTCTCCGGGTATCTATGAATGTATTTATCATTATTTTCTATTAAATAGTTTGCCGCTTGAGCTCTTCTTTTTTTTTTCTAATAATAATAAATAATTATAAAATTAAATAAAATTAACTAAATTTCCACTTCATATTAATAAAATGGTTACTAACGTCTATAGTTCTTGAATTCTTCTTTAATCTCCTCCTATCCATTTTCACTTTGTCGTCTCCTTGCTTCTTTATATTGCTTACATGGCGGCGTGAACGTCAATGTCCATGTAACATCTTTAAGATATCACTGTTTGAAACATTATATTTTTTGTTGACTAACTTATAAAGCGGTGGAAGAGGACCCCGAACAATATATATATAGGTCAGATAAAAAATTCAAAATTTACTAAGGTCAATAAGCAAATATTTTTCATGTCTGCTAAGCAAACTTTTATCTAACCCATAAATTTTTTACACTGCTAAGCAATTTATTTTATGACATATATATATTTATATATAATTTTTTTTATAAAATATGTATATAAAAAAAACTAAAAAAACAAAAATTTTTGAAATAAAGTATGGATAAAGCTATTATTATTTTTTTGTAATATTACAACTTATAAATGTTTCTTATTAATATTTCGTATATCTGTTCTGTGACTTCAGGGCGTAATTTAGGCACTTTAGTCAAAGGAAACATCCAAAACCTTCTTAAGTAAAGTTGTTCAGCAGGTTCGAATCTACTTACATATAAATTTTTATCACGATTGAATAAATATTTATGGATTTATTCATGTTTTTTGTAACGCCACCAATACGCGGAATTTTTATTTTTAAAATTTACTGTAAAATTTGTTAAAAAAAATATTTTTAAAAAATTTTCTAAGTAAAAATGAAATAACTTTTACTGATTATTACAAAAATTATAGTGTAAAATTATAAAAAAACAGAAAAACGCTTATTTTTCTTGCTCTCATTTTTAATATATATTTTTTTACTGTTACACGGACGTGTATATGATTTATAATTTTAATGTTACGCGGACACGTATTTGTTTTATCAAAAACACCTTACACAATCACGTCTAAAAATGATTCCTGTATTACGTATACAATTAACTTATTCTTTGTATTAAAAATAGTAAATTTTTTTTACACAAACATGTTTATAACTTTGTTTACATATTTTATTAAATTTTTTTAATGTGAAAAATGTAAATATATATTATATTATATATATACAGTCGACCCCCTTTATAATCACCTCCTATATAATCACTCCCCTTATTTAAGCACATTTTATTTAGTCCCAAATTTTTTATATAAGAAACACCTCTTTTATAGTCACAGTATTAGTTATAAGCATAATCACATTTATTATCGGTCCCGTACTATAGTAAACATAAGAGAATTTCCCCATTTATAATCACATCATAACACGTGATAAGATAGGTTGTACAATTGCAATAATATATAATATACATGACGCGAATTGCATAATTTGCGCAGTTCGCGCAGTCTTGTTTACTTGTTTAACATTTCACTATTTATTATAATGCCGCCTATTCGTTTGGAAAAAATAACAAGAACCGTACTGCTATTAGTATTGATATAAAAAAGGAGATTTGTGAATATATGGTGGCAAATCCCAACGTAAATCAAGCTACTGTTGCTTCTTTTTTTAATACAAAATATGCTGGCTTAGATATTCAAAGAACAACTATTAATAAAATATGGAAAGATCGGGAAAAGTGGCTAGCAGTTCTTTCTAACTCACAGACTGCGCATACATTTCGGTAACGGCCTGTTCAATATCCAGAACTTGACAAAGCTATGCAAATGTGGGCTTCACAAGCAGTAGCTAGTGGAATTCCTTTAACAGATGGAATATTACAACAAAAAGGAATAGAATTTGCTGAAAATTTAAATATTCATGACCAATTAAAGTGTGCCAATGGTTGGGTGTATAGATTTAAATTGCGTAATGGTCTTCAAAAAGTTAATTTTTCAGGAGAAGCTAATAGTGCTCCAATTGAAAGTCTTCCAGCAGAACGTGTGCGTTTACGTGCACTTTTAGCCAAATATGATGCAGAAGACATTTATAATGCAGATGAAACAGGTCTTTTTTTTCGAATGGAGCCAAATCAAACACTTAGTACTGGTGCAGTTGCAGGACGCAAAAAAGTAAGAAAATTATTTTATAATATGATTGGTTTGTTTTATTTTAGTGTTAATGTGCGCATTGCGCATACAAAAATTTTTTAAATTTCAACACATAATTTAATATTAAATTTATTTTATTTTATAGGATAAAAGCCGAGTTTTCATTCTTTTTTGTGCTAATGCTACAGGTTCGCATAAACTACGTCCTCTTGTAATTGGAAAGTCACTCAATCCCCGATGCTTCAAAAATTTCAACAAATCAGCTCTTCCTGTTATATATCGAGCTAATTCAAAGGCTTGGATGAGATCTGATATTTTTGTTGAATGGTTAAGACATCTTGACAATTATTTTCGCACATTGGATCGAAAGATTTTACTTCTCATTGATAATGCAGGTTCCCATTTTAATACAATAAGACTCGAGGAAAATGATGATGATGAAACAACAAATACTGGCAAAAATAATTCTGATAGTGAGCAAGAATCAAATCAAAATCAAAATAAAAAAAAAAATCAAAAAAAAAATGGTAAAAATAAAAAAATGATACCTAATCTCACTAATATTAAACTCATTTATCTACCACCAAATACAACTGCACACCTTCAACCCATGGATGCAGGGATTATTCATAGTTTTAAAGCCAAGTACAAGAAGGAATTTTGTAAACATATCATTCGTCAATTTGATTCTGGAATAGATCATATAGAGTAAGTATAGAAAGTGCTTTGTTTTTAATTAAATAAGATACACTATTTATTACTTTTAATATTAATAATTATACTTAGAAACAAGTTAAATCTTAAAGAAGCAATTGATTACATTGCTGAAGGGTGGAATAACGTTACCCAGAAGACAATTCGGAATTGTTAGATCAAAACAGGTATACTTCCAACTTATGATGACGATAATGATGGTGATATAGATGAGGATGATCTTGAATCAGATTTAGATGGTGATGATATTGAAGATTTTCTTGATAATTTGCCAAATTCTGATGATATTATAGAATACTTTCAGATGCTTGATCACGAAATTCCAACTGAAGAAAATCTTACTGACGAAGAGATTGTTAATTTAGTACAATTCGAAAAAGAAGGAGGAAATTTAAATGATGATGATGATGATGAGGATGATGAAATACCTTTGGTATCGGTAAAAAAGGCAGTCAGTGGGTTAAAATTGTTTATTAATTATTTTGAACAGCAAGATAATTCCGAATTTAATATTGACGATTTGCGTGTTTTCAGAAAATATTTATGAATTGCTAGAACTCAGGAGTTTAATTCGAAAGGGCAAAGTACACTTGATATGTTTTTTAAAAAATAATAATATAATATCTATGGATTTTATTAGTTTTAGTAACATTTATAACATTTATAACATTTATAATATAATTTTGTAGTATTTTATCATAATAATATAGTATTTTATCGTAATAATAAATAGGTTTTTGGATGTAATTAGGAATAATAAAATATATCTATGTAACTAATACAAATAATTTAAGTTCGTGTGTAAAATTTACAAAATTCCGAAGGAAATGGATGGATAGGATGGATGAAAATTTTTTTTGCAATCAATTATCACGTGTTAGTGCTGCAATCAACATTACAGTACGATTTTATATATAATCACACAAAACTAAAAATTTATATATACGTGAATATATAATTTATAAGCACACCCCTCTATAATCACACAATTTAATGGTCCCGAGGGGTGTGATTATAGAGGGGGTTGACTGTATATTAAAAAAATCTATCCTGCTACACAAATATATATTTGACTATTAATAATTTAATACTCTGCTACGCATAATTATATCTGACTATTTAAAAATTATGGTATCAAATAAGCAATAATAAATCTCACATAGGAAAAATTTTTATATGTTGGTTAAGCAAACTCAAAACCTACCTTTATATATATTGTTCGGGGTCCTGGTGGAAGTAATTTTGTAATGATAGTTTCTTTCTGCTCAAGCCACGTACGTTCATTATCGATCTCATATATATTCTTTAATTCAGAATCTACCCAGATAAAGACTTCTTTCTATAAATAATAAATAAACATAAATATTTGGGAAAATTCAATAACAGATAATAAAAACATACTTACTTTAATTGTTCAATACATGTTTTGATTCAAATGAATAGCATTGTCTGACAAAGACGAAGATGAATAGGTAGAAGATGATGAGGAAGATGAGGAGCTAGATTCTTGATCACTATCCATCATTGCCTACTTTGATTGCTTTGATTGAGAAAAGGAATTTGTGAAAAAAGATTTGTGTGCAAATTTATAGATTTCGAAGTTGTTAAAATTTGACTACACAAATGAATAACGCAAGATATGTGAACTTGATTTTGAAGAACTGCACGTGAATCTGATCTAAAAGAATAATTAAATGTTTATTTTATTTTACCAAAAACGTGAAACTGATTTTGAAATAGGAATTAAACGTGAAACTAATCTTAATCTTAAGGAATAATTGAACGTGTATCTGATTCTAAAAGAAAGGTTGAACACAAAATTGAAGAATTGAACGTGAACTTGTTCCTGATCCTAAAAAAGTAATTGAAGAACCTGATTTTGGAAAAATTGAATTGATAATTTTTTTGAAAATTTTTTAATAAGCATACTTCATTTAAGTAATTGTAACCTTAACTTTCTTAGCTATTTCATAAAATACAAAATGAATAATAAAAAAAGTAAAATTGAAATTTTTAACTCTTTGTCTGATTTAGTAAAACACAAAAAAAGTAAAATTGAAACCTCTACCTCTGTTTCTGATTTAGTAAAATCCAGAAAAAGTAAAATTGAAACTTCTGCCTCCGTGTTTGATTTAATAAAATTCAAAAAAACTAAAATTGAAATCTCTACCTTTGTATCTGATTTAATAAAATCTAAAACAGCCAATTCAATAAAATCAAAAAAACCAAAAATGGCTGATTTAATGAAACCCAGAAAAAGGTATTTGTATCCATGCCACTATATTCGTTGTGACGGCGCAGAGATTGATTTTCGCACTCAAGAAAATCATACAAATGATGAAAGTTTGTGGAACTCAAAGGATACTAGGAAAAATCAGGAAGATACTATTAGTCTATTACAGCAAGAAAACAAAAAAGATTAATCATTATTTAAGATGTAAACTTTACAAAAAAGCGAAAAAGGGCATCAAGTTCTAATCTTGATTCTTCCCAATATAATAGTGGCTTTAATCCTTTCAATGAAGATACTCAACCAAATAATAATGAAAACATACATACATTATTTTCATCATCACCATTATTGCCAAATCCTTCTTATTTTCATGTTCTAGCACCTAATGAAAATAAGGATAATGATGAATATATATATTACAATGAAGAAGAAGAAAATGATGATGATGAGGATGACGGTGATGAGGATGACAGTGATGAGAATGACGGTGATGAAAATGACGGTGATAAGGATGATGGCGATGAGAATAATGGTGCTGAAAATAATGGTGGTGAAGATGAAGGCGATTATAATGAAGAAGAAAATGATGATGATGATGATGGAGATGATGAGGAGGAGGAGGAGGATATAGAAGAATTTTTTTCATCTCCTAAAATTGGTAATGATGAAGTATTTGTGATAAAAAGTTTAAATGACTCCATAGAAACTGAAATTATTCTATGGGTATTTAAATTTCAATAAAGATTTAGACTTCCAGATATAGCACTTGAAGTATTAATAAAATTCTTACATATTGTATTTACTCATTTAGATAAATCACAATTTAAAAATTTTCCAGCATCCTTATATCTTGCAAAAAAAATGTTAAATATCTTTCAACTAAAAATGCAGTTAGCTTTATGCAACAATTGTCATAAATTGTATAATATTAGAAATATTATTGAATATAAAGAAGAAGGAAAAGCTGCTATTGCAAATTGCCTACATAAAGAATTCCCAAATAATCCAGTACCTAGTCGTTGTAATAAATGCAACAATCCACTTTCTATTCTTAAAAAAAGAAAGGGTGAAATAATTGCTATACCTCGTATGATTTACCCTAAACCAAATATTCGTCAGCAATTAAGTATGTTATACATATGCTGGAATTATCAGGAATTCAAAGAGGAGGGGTTAATACCTATTCAGATATTTATGATAGTAAGGTATAGAAAACTTTCCCATTTAATGGTGATACCTTCTTTACACCAGAAACTGCGACAATACATCTGGGCCTTTTCTTTAATCTTGATTGATTTCAACCTTTCACCTATACTCAACACAGTGCTGGTGCTATTTATTATGCATCTATTTGTAATCTTTTGAGAACAAAAGGAATAAACCTGAAAATATTATATACATCAGGAAATTTTTTAAGATGCAGAACTGTGAAGATTTGTAAAATTAGCAAATTTCTGCATTTTTTTTGTGAATTTATGCAGAAGTCTGCGATTTTGCAGATTTCTGCTTTTATTTTTTACAAAGTTATGCAATAATCTGCAATTTTGCAAGTTTTCAATTTTTTATGTATGAATTTCTGCAGTAATCTGCGATTTTGCAGATTTCTGCTTTTTTTTATGTGAAGTCTGCAATTTTGCAGATTTTTGCTTTTTTTTCATTAAAATATCAGTTCGATCTGCAATTTCATCATTGATTTAATATTTAAACTTTAATTAACTCTAATTTGATTTAATACCTAAATGATTTTTTCTACAATACTCTTTAAAAAAAAAAACTTTACAAAACTTTAAAAAAATAATTTTTTCTACAACACTTATTACTAAAGAAAAAAATTTTGTGAAATAATTTTTTCTACAACACCTTTTAGGAAATAATCTGTTAAAGATTCCAAAGAAAAAATATTTCTATTATTTTTTAAGCTTCGAAGCTTATCAGAAAAATTTTTTGCAAGGTTCGGAGTCTTTAAGGCAAATTTGTCCAACATTCGGCACATAATCTGCAACATGCAGGAAAATCAGAACTAAAAAAGGAGTCGTATTCCTTTTTTTTCTTCTTTGAAAAAAAAAATTTTTTTTAATGAATGTTAGTTAACGTTCAGTTCATAAGTCAAGAAAAGTTCTTATTGTCACTTTTAATTTGGAGGTATATCACCTCTGAAACTTTAATTTTTTTTAGAGAAAAAAAAATTTTTTTATATATTACAGGTTCCAGATGGAACCTATTGATGGTTTCGAAACTTAATTTTTTTTTTTTTTAAAAAAAAATAATTTTTTCATATTAGGCCAAATAAATAAAATAGTTAGTTTCTTATCCCCGTGCGGGTCATGTGAATGTCGTGTAATGAAAAAAAAATTTATTTTTTTTAGTCATATAACACCGGCTGGATGTAAAATATTGTCTTAGAAAAAAATTTTTATATATATTTATTATTAATATATTAATATGCTAATGGTAATAAAATTTATTATTTACGATATCACTAAATTGCTATTATAATTATATAATATATCTCAGCATTTTTCCCTTTCCGTATATGATATCATCAATCTTTTCTCACTTTTTTCCCTTTTCTTTTGCTCTGAAGTCTCTGAGATTGAGTACTATCTGAAAAATTTAATCCTTTACCTGTTTTAATCGATACGTTTAGATCTGTGGTGTACGCTTCACAGTAAGAATATTGTTTTTCAGGTACAGGCGTAATATATTCAGATGAACCACAGTTAAAACATACAGGTAGAAAATTAGCTGAATAATAAGCCTTTTCCATTTCATCATAACACTCTAGCGAAGCATTTACAAATACTTTTGATAAAATATTTTTTAACTCTTGATTCATATCATTTCGCTTAGTGCATATGTCTCTGTCTTCTACTTGGATAGGGCTTTCATCTCTTTCTGTCTCTTCCTCTTCCTCTTCTGCTGATTCCATATCAGACAAAATGTTATCACAATCTAACTCTTCTCTATGTCATTTTCGAGATGATTCTTCTAAAGAATCATCCTCCAATTCCATTTTAAAACCATTATCATTTTGAGAAAAGGTGGTACCACATGTATAACATACTGTATCAAGGTGTGCCATTAAAATTTTCTTTTCATCTTCTGTAATTTTTTTTGAAGCATATAAACATCTTGATTTATTACAATCTATACATGTTACAGTCATGCCTACATTTTTTGCTCTTTGTATACATGCTGCCCAAATTATTTTGGGATGCCATAATTATAATTTGGGATGCCATAATTCATTCGGTTTATATATAATTTACTATGTAAAGTGCCAAAATAATTTGGGATGCCATAATTGAATTTGGGATTTCACTTATAATTACAGCAATCCAAAATAATTTGGGTGGCATGTATAGCTCTTTGTGCATTTCCTGTCCATGGCATTTGCTTATCACGCCTTTGTTTTTTTTTATATTTGTCTAATTTTGCTTTACGTGCCTGTATGGATGGACAATATGATTCACTGGTATCCATATGATAAACATCACTAAAGTTTTTATAATGTTCATTATTTGCTGGAACTGGATCAGGCAAATGGTCTAATGTATTAAAAATATCTTGTGTACTTCTAATTGGTAAACAAATCTCACAGTCATCTTTGCCACATTTTTTTATTGAAAAAAAATAGGAATGCGAATGACAACAGTGGTTAAAGAAATTACTAATTGGCTGTATATAAAATATAAAAGTAAATAAATTAAATTCGTATATTAATTACAATTTTTATACTTAACATTATTTTTTATATTTGCCCAATTTCTATCATCTTTAGTTAATGTAGGATCTAATTGAAGCATTGAATTCCACAATATATCTATATCCAACTCTGATGCATCTTCAAAGATTTTAAAATTTTCATCCTTTAATTGCAATTGTTCAAATACATCATTTAATAAAGTAATCATAGGATTCAAGTTTTGTTTGAGACCTTCTTTTAGACTGGGAGTTTTTTCTGCCATCTTTCTAATATCATTCATGCTATTACATTTTAACATGATTTCTTCTAACTCCACATCCATTTCTTAACGCATAAGACTAACACATTGTAATCCTAAATTTAAAATAGACATAATTCTTTCCACTGGATTTTTCCAGGAATGGCCAGGTGGTGTGCGTACAGCTACTAAGTAATTTAAATCTAATGCTAAAAATAAACTAATTAATGCTAATTGTGTTTTAATAAACTTTACTTGATGGTCTGGACCACCATCCGTATATAAAAATAACAGATAAGGTTTATTTGTTTTAGCTACTATTTCATAGAGTTCCGTAGCATGTCTAGCTGCATTTGATGGTTCAAATACTGGATCTTTTAAGTCCACATAAACCTTACCACAATAAAATAATTCATCAATCAATTGTGGTATTTTGGCATGCATTATGACACTTGGTATGAGTCCACATTTCGTAAAATCATGGTCAGCAACAGCAAATGTTGCTCCATTAGCTACAATTACTGATTTTCCTGTTCTACAGCAGCTACAGGGTAACCTGGTTCTCCAACTTTGCAACGATGTTTATCATCCATAAAAATTAAATTGGAATATTCTCTATATCTGACTGCCATTTCTCTTTCATATCGGAATAATGCTGATGCATAATGAAAATCAGGATGGTCAACTCGCAACTGGCGTGCTTGAACCATATATTTAATATTTAGCCTTCCCGTATAATACTCAGATACCTTTACAGTTTCATTATTAGGACCAAATTGCATTCGTAACCATTGTTTTGATGGAACTGAAGTATTAGGTGGACAAATTTTTGTAACTTGAGCAATCAAATCTCGTACTGATATTGCATGTGATAAATGTACCACTGTTCCATGCCACCTATCATCAACTGCCACATGTTCTTCAAGATATTTTTCAACATATTTTCAAAACTCAGCATAGCGTTCAGGTCTACCTTTGTTTAAGTTACGCAAATCAACTATTACCTTGTCATCTCCATTAATAAGTAATTGTTTTAGCATTATTTGTTTTTCTGTCATATTAGTAGCTAAGCTGGAATTACCAGTTAAATCTTGATATAAAGCGCGTGCCTGATGATATTTGGTTGGCATATCCAAAATTAAGTCGGCTTTGTGTTGGAATTGTTTACGCATAAATTGTATATGATAAGTTGGCATTTCACTTTTTAAGCAGTTACAAATTGTATAGGATTTGTTCATTATTTCTTCATTATTTAGACTTTCATCAACACGCCACAGGAAACATGCGTTAAATGCATTATTACCAGATGAATAACGAAAAATACCAAATTTTTGACACATATTTTCAGGTAAGTTGTGAATAAACGTGTATTTTTTGCTAAGTAATATATTTTTATTTAGTAATTTAATTTATAGCATAAACAATAATTTTTAAATTCATTTTCACACTATTTACCTTGGTTCTGAAGGTACAAACGGTTCAACATCCATCACTTCCCAGCAAGGTATAGTAGACAACTTATTATTTAAACTTGCATATTTTTGTCTATTATAAGAGTTAGAATTAAATTGAATTCTGTCATAAACTTTCACACTAATTAAATCATCTATTGATCTAACTGGAATTGATAGATTATGATTCTCACTCATTTTGATATCTTGTTCTTTTAAATATGTGGAATATTCATTCAAACATTTCGAAAATCTTTCTATTACAGGATAAATTGAAGTAAATTGGAAATTATCCATCTATGGCGTATTCAAATGTCCAAAAAGTAAATTTGCATGTCGATTTAAACAATCATAATTAAACTTTGGCCTAGCATTTTTATAGTTTGATGGATCTGATCTATTAAAAAATTCTTCAAATTCTTTAGAGGGATATATTGACCTTCCTTTTAATTTTTCAACACCACACATATCTACATACCATATAGAATTCCATAAATAATTTATAAAAGATTTTCCTGTTGATTCTGCAGCAAGTTTTCCTTTCTAACCTCCACCATTATTTTTTATCTATGCAACCAAGTCCTGGCGCAATAAATCCTTTTTGTTTGGCTTTTTTGGTAATTTGAAGGAAGGCAAAGCTAGTTGAGTAGAATTAGAAATAAGCACTTTAAATGCATTGTTTTCTCTTTGTATAGAAGATGGTTGATAGTCTTCTGGAATTTGTAACTCAAATAAAATAAAATTCCCAAAAGTCTGTAAAATTTCATTAAGCTCACATTGAATATTAACATCAACAAACTCCCTTTTTATCGAATTTCCTACTTTTGCTTTTAATAAAAAATCATGATAATCTTTATTTATTGATAAAAACTTCCTGATGAGATTTGTCCAGAAGCCAATGAACGAAAAAAATCATACAATGAAGGATTTTCAATAACAAGATGTATCTGCCATCTAAGTATTTCTTTTCTACTACTTAATGTAACTTTTACACTTACAGAAGGCATTTTTTAAATTTTATTTTAACTTTCAATAGACAAGAAAAAAGGAAAGACTAAACTATTACCATTAGAAATTTAGCAGCTTTAGCTAAAAAAAAGATTATTTCAACATCTAATCGTAATTAAAGGGTGGGAAAAAAGTTTTTTATTTGTAATAACTTTTTTTCTCAGGTCACCGGGTGGAAAAAAATTTCATTTTTTTAATAAATTTTTTATCTGGGTCGCTGGGTGAATAAAAAATTATAAAATTTTGAGCCTGGGTCACCAGGTGGGGGAAAAATTTATTCACAGAGCTAACCAATCATCTTTCAGAAATTGGATAAATTTTTTTTTAAAATAAATTTTTTTTCCAGGCAGCCGTGTCAAATTTTATTATTTATTTTTATAAGAAACTAACTATTTTATTTATTTGGCCTTATAAGGTTCTGGATGGAATCTATCGATGATTTAGTTTGGAATTCAGAGGTATGCTTACCTCCAAATTTTAATTTATTTTTAAAAAAAAAAATTTTTTTTTTATATCATATAGGTTCTGGATGGAACCTATTGATGATTTTAAAATTCGGAGGTATATTAACTTCTGAATCTTTAATTTATTTTAAAAAAAAAATAATAATTTTTATTATATTATATAGGTTCCAGATAGAACCTATCGATGATTTTGAAATTCGGATGTATGCTTTACTTCCAAATCTTTAATTTATTTTTTTTAAAAAAACAATATATATTATAGATTCCAAATGGAACCTATTGATGATTTTAAAATTCGGAGGTATGTTAACTTCTGAATCTTAATAAATAATTTTTTTTATTTAATAAACGCCACTAATGTTCGTTTTTCATATTTTTAAGTCCTGGAAGCTAAAGTACAGCTCTGGACTTCATTTCGAATTTTTTTAATTTATATTTTTAATTTAACGAACAGTAGTAAATGTTCATTTTTTTTATATTTTAACTTCATTTAACGAACGTCGCTAAACGTTCGTTTTTATATTTTATTTAGGTCCTGGACACCAAATAATGGCTCCAGACTCTAATTTCGAAGGTAAACTTTACCTTCAAATTATTTTTTTAATTTTATTTCAACAAACATTACTAAATGTTCATTTTTATATTTTATAGGTCCTGGATGCCAATGAATGGCTCCAGACATTAATTTCGAATGTAAAACCTTTACTTTTGAATTATTTTTTTTATATTATTATTTAACAAACGTTACTTACGTTCATTTTTTTATTTTTTTTTAGGTCCTGGCTGGACGCCAAAGAATGGTTTTGGACGTTAGTTTTGAAGGTAAAACATTACCTTCAAATTTTTTATATTTATATTTAACAAACATTACACAGGTCGAAAAGTGAAAAATCAGGCATCAATCAGTCACCAATCAGGCAGTTTGCTAACTTTTAATCCAGTGATCAGAAAAAAATGAAATATAGCTTATTGGAATCGTCTCAGCAAGACGAATCTAATGGTTGTAAAATCGCATTTCTAGGATTAATACTGGTCAAAAACCAATATATCGGGTAGCAGATATGTATCAGATATGTACCCGATATGTGTAGTATTAATGCTGAAAATCGGGTACCCGATATGTGTAAAATATATGTAAATATATATATCATATACATATCGGGTACCGATATATATATAATATGTATATGATATGTAGACGATATATATATTTACACATATCTTACACATATCGGGTACCTGATTTTCTGCATTAATATTACACATATCGGGTACATATCTGATATATATCTGCTACCCGATATATTGGTTTTTGACTAGTAGTGAACTCTCTCCTGAATTTTTCAAAAACGAAAATTTCCGACGATAATAATTTTTTATTATTTTTAAAAAATAATACAAGCTACTAATAAAATTTTATATTTTATATATTCCCAACTCAAAGCCCTCTACTATGTCTGGTAACTATGCCAAGAGAGGCCGTGGAAGTCATAACCCTAACAGTAGGAAAGCTTCCCGTCAAGAACGAAAAAATAATAATAACTCTGATAACTCAAGCTCCGATGGTGAAAATACTGTCCAGCAGAAACGTAATCGTACGATTACTGAAGATTCTATGGAAGAAGACTACGTTGCCGATGACCAGACAGCTGACGTTGGAGTAGATGGACCTTCCTCTTCTCCTCAACAAAATATCTCTGGCGAAAATACTTTGACCTCCTTCCCGAAAAAATCTGCTGCGCCAACTGCACCAAGTCACGTCGCGTCTTCTGGAAATGTAGACGCGTCCATGCATGCACCTTCAAACAAAGACTTGCAACAACCCCCTAACGCATCACCCAATTTTGATACCAATGGTGTTCCAGATGACGATCATACTTCAGATCCAGTGGTGACCTTCGCCATAACCAGAGATGATTTTCAGGCTGCGGCTGCGCCGAATGCTGCCCCTGAATCTCTTAAGAAGTTCCCTACCAATAAAGCCCTTATTGAGGCTGTTAATAACCTTTTTTTAGAAACTTACGAGTCATTTACTGGAAAAGCGCGTATGACTGGTTCTGGTGAAGCCAAACGCCTCGTTATCCACTTCCATACCGCTGAAGCACGCGATTTGTGCGTTGGTTCCACTCATTCTGAGTTCCCTGACTTAATCTTTCATGCACATGACCCTCGCCAACTCCGATCCAATGAAGATTTCCGGGCCATCCAAGTTACCGATATTCCTTTTTTCATTAAAAAGGACAACTTGTTGGCTTATTTTAAAAAATTTGGTAATATCACCTCTTGCCGCCTCTTCTCCAGGCCCAATGCCAAAGTCCAGCAAGCCCGTATTGTATATGATCACACTGATTCAATTGCTCATTTTACCGATCAATGGGCTGTATACTGTTTTTCCACCTGCCTCAGAATCACCCCATGTTTCTATACTGTAGATCAAAAGGCTGCGCGCTGTCAATACGTCGCACTCTCACTCAGCTTCCCCCTAATGTTAAGGATATCAACTTGGCTCCTCTTACTCGTAATCTTGGCGCCAAAGCTGTTAATGTGCCACTTTCTCTGAATTCTTACAAACCCAAAAGATGGGCTTATGTCACCTTCAACTCCCAAGAAACCATGGATGCTGCTATGGAACAAACTATTAGCTTCCAAGGCCATGTACTTTTCTGGTCCTCCCCAGATAATACTAATAAACTTTGTCACAGATGTGGCAAATTAGGTTGCGCCCCGAATTTCTGCCCATTTAAACAAACTAGAGGCAGAAGTCGCACTTGCGACCCTGTTGCAAAACTCAAAGAACGTTTTAATGTCAATCAATCTCGCCGCTCCAATTCAAAGACTGCTAATGCACGTTCTCGCTCCCGATCTCGCTCCAAATCTAAAGATCGATCTGCTTCCAATTCTGGACGTGATAACAACATTTCCCATGACCGCACTAATAATGATAAAAATCATAACAAACCCGCTCCCAATATCTCCCAACGTGCCCGCCATAATAGCAAAGAACGATCAGTCTCCTTTTCTTCCTCCTCTCGTTCTACAGCACGTCCCCCGCCCCGACAAACTCCTAACTCTGCATTATCTCCTGATGATGCTAATAACATTCTAAACCTTTTGCGTGAATTACAATGTGAAGTAGCCAACTTTCACAAACGCATCTCCGCTCTTGAACTTGCTGATCAATAGATGTCTCGTATTGAATCACACCTTGGCCTCGATCCACTTCCTTCGCCTAATGAGCCTGAACCGGATCTCATGCAAGAAGATACCCCTGTTACTCATGTTCCGCTTAATATTCAGTCTTCCACTAAATCTTCTTTGCCCCCCAAAAGTATTTTAATGCGACCTTCGCCTATAATCACTATTGTTCCTAACACGTCGCTCCCTCCTTCTCACCTTTCCCCAAATGCTCCTCCTTTTACCCCTCTCTCCTCCACGCAAGAAGAAATTAACGATCTCAAAAATAGTAGAGTCGTTATTGAAAGTAAATTGGACCAACTCACTGGTCATATCAAACAATTCATTGGCTCCCTTGGTGGTGCTCCCCTGGAACAAGCTGATTCAGCTTCTTCTGTTTAATTTTCTTCTTAAAATTTTAACTCCCCGACTGTTTTTATCATTGTGTTTTAATGTCGGACAATAATTTTAATTATGACACCTTTGTACGAAACCCTCCCAACCCCGATAATGTTACGGAAATTTTTTTACATGAATTGTTATTTTCTTCCTCTAGTAACACTTCTCCTATCCCCAATTCATTCAATATTTCCTCCTTTAATGTTAACGGCCTTAAAATGCATGGTCAGACTAAATTAGATGAAATTTCTACTTTCTTTTCCTTGAAACATATTTCTTTTGGTGGTATCGTTGATACTCATCTTCACCCTAAACAAATGAAGTTTTTATCCAAGCGCATTTCTAATTATACTGTGTTCTCTTCTAATTTAGATACTTCTAAACAAATTCTTTCCTCTGGTGGTGTTTCTCTTTTTATAGAAAATTCTCTTGCTTCACATGTACAAGATTTTCAATCCCATTCTTCACGTTTGCTTTCTGTTGACTTATATTTTAAAGGCAATGTTAAATTGCGTATATTCGTTATTTATATCCCTCCCCCTGCTGAAAGTGTTTTGCGCACTGACACTATTGATTTGCTTATTCAACAACTTACCCTTACTAAACAAGCTGGTTTTTACCATGCTGTTTGTGGCGATTTTAATATGCATTTAGATAAATATTATCCTATTTACTTTAATCAACCTCAAATTGCTTCAAAACATATTCACCGATTATTTTTTCATCTCCTTTCTCATGGATATGAAGACTATACTCCTATTAATCTTTCCAACTCCTTAGGTACCTTTCATCGCAATGACCAAATTACTCGCGTTGATTATGTATGGTCTTGCCCTCTCCTCAAAAGATATGCCCTTACTGCTTGCATTTTTAATGCTCAAGACATTTGCACATCTGATCATAACCCTATCATCACATACTATGATATGTCTTTACTTTTTGCCTCTACCAAATTGGCTCGC